ATAATGTTACCTATTAGATCCGTTGTAAGGATTTTGGTCTCCTTTATATTGTTGTAATCCATATTGAAGGATTATAGTATGGCCACCAATGAGCAAGGTAAAGTTTCAAGCTGCCTTGGCTTATATAATTCGCTAGCTAAAGGGGCATTCATTTATGCCCATGGTTCAATACAGTAGAATGGCGGAAGGATACTGTGTGATACTACACATGACAGTCTTTGAGGTGCAGACAACATAGAGCTTAAGAATTTGAAGGCAGATTTACAAGTTTTCATTTAAAATATATAGAACTATATCCAGTGATGGAAGCTTTGAAAGACAAAAATCTTCAGGCTAGTGTAGGAACCCTAGTGATTTCAATGGTTTATGACTGGGCTGCTAACCTTTAACCCTACAAGTGACCGTTCAAACACACTCGTTACTTGTCATAAGAAAGGGAAGGCTTTCTGCTCCCATAAAAATTGAAAGGCTTGGAAGCCCCAAAGTTCTATTTTGTCCTTAGGAGTCTTTATGGGTTAGAATCAACTCGATGGTGAGTTTTCCATTTTATGTATTTTTAATTCAAAGGCAATATAGCATACAAAATTGATTTTATTTGATGTGCTCACATATTAAATATGAAATTAGTTGAGCTGACAGATCTGCGCTTGCATAAAACTCAAAATAGATCACACTATGAAACAAAGATTGGCAAGCATTCTTCTTACATGCTTTTGTATGTTAATAACTTTAATGTTACTGGAAAATATGTCTGATATTTGACAGATATTTAGCAATACTATGAAACAGAACATGAAAATATGCAAGTTATATTACAAAAAATATACTTTAAAAAACAAATCCATGCTTAATTTGCTTTTCCTTAGAAATAAACATCTAACAAAGATCAGAAAGATCCTATGTATAATCAAGTTATTTTGCAGGAATCAACTTTTTGGCAAGACTCTTCCCTTACTAAGAATTACTTTTGAGACAAATATAAGGATTTTGTCAAACTCTATTGACATTTCCTTGATGTTTTCGTCCCATCTTCTTTGAACACCAAGGAGCAAGTCTAGTTTCCTATTAGGTCTCACTGTCACATCTTGACTCCGGCTCCCATTGGTCCTCCATACTTTTGGGAGTTATCTTTCCGAACCACAAATTTCCTATACATAAAGTCCAAACTTATTGGCCTACACAAGCCTTATCACACCTAACCATTGCCTTGTTTTCCCCATTCATTTCTCTCACTACCTTCCCTTTGCTTTAGCCTCTGAACCACTTGCTCTTTCCTAATATATTCTGCAGATTCATGCTTTCAGGCAACAGAGTACCTTATGTCTATATGCCAGGCTTATTGTGAGCAGTTTTTATGCATTTGCTCCTGTTGTTCCTACTTCCTGGAATGTACAGTCTGAAAACTGTCCCCCTGGAAAATATGCATTCATCTTTTGAAACTCACTACATAATCACTATAATTATAGCCTTTCCTAACCAGCTAAAACCAACCCCTTCTTTCTTGGTGCTTTCCATCAACCCTACACTAATGTCAAACACAGAAAGTCTTACCACTTCCATGAGTCTTCCATTATAACCATGACCTTTGAGGAAAGGGCCCAAGTCTCAGTTATCCCTTTCTTAGCCAATGCCTGCCTAATGCCTGATACTTAATTTATCTTACCCTTACCTTTCCCTGATTTGACCACTCTAGGGATGGCAAGAACAAAATAATCAACAAAAAGTTCCATCAGACACTAGTTGATTATTATATTTAAAGTGGTAGGAAAAAAATGTTTCATGCTCATAAAGATGAATCTTTACTGATAGAGCCCAAAGAAATTTCTGAGCTGTCTCATTTTGAGACACATTAATGGCTTGACTTTCCTTCATAATCACAATCAGGAAGATGTTTCATTTTTTCAGCCATGTTAAGCAACTCATCAAATTGAGAGACACAAAACAAACAAAATCCCTCCTCTGCCTTAAGAAGCTCAAGCACTGGTCTTGCTGAACAACTGATAAATAAATCCTTCCTTCCAGCTCTTTCTTGCCATAAGCAAATCTTCTCATTCAATTTCCTTCAGACAGATTTAATTGCTTTCTCACCTATATTTCCATTTTACTATATATAATCCATTACAGTTTGTTTAAACATATTCTGGACAGCGAGATGGCCACAGGTCAGTGTCTGGCATATAATGAACACTCAGTAAATGAATGAGGAATTGAATCTTGCTTTAATAATACCAAATAAGTCAAGATTAATTATGTTAATCCAAACCTTTAAAAAAGGCCTTAGCATTTGACCCCTATCTTTGAACTCAAATTTGATACCAGGCAATTGTTTTTACAATACTACAGTCTGTAAAAGAGATGCTATTTAAGGACATCATATGGTTTTTTTTTTTTAAAAAAACCAATTTATTTAAACATTGCTACAAAGGTAATGCACAATAAGTGAAAAACACAATGGTGGTTGATTTTATGAATAAATATTTAAGATTATGTTAAGTGGTTGGAATAGGCCGATAGACCACCTATGTTTTGTGATCTTTTTATTACTTAAGGCAGTTCAATAACTACACATTTTAATAAGATAAATCATTTAGCGTTCAAAGTGTAAGCATGAATCAACTTGAATTCAATTTGTTGTGGTTAAATTAGTGGTCATACCACCTCAGTTACATCGAAATCTATTTGGACTGAACAGCTGACTGAGCGCCCAGCCATTTTGTTACATAGCTCTTGATAGTTTATAAAGCTATTTCAATACCTGAAATGCAAGTCTTAAGTTTTGGCATAGGTTTGAGAATTTGGTAAATTTGTAGAAGCACTTTGATGTTTGTTTTACTGGTACAACATCTCAATCTGCTTCTACAGCAGCTTCAATGCCATCAGTTTACATACCTGGCTGTAATGAGGCACTTAGAGTACGATTTCAAATAGTAATTTGCTTCATACTACTATTGTATTCTTCCTCTAGGGAATTGAGAGAAAAAAAGAGATTACGAATTGTTAGGACCTTTTCTTTTTTAACTACTGTAATCATCAAGCATATTTTCATCTGAATAAAGTTAAATCATTGTATTTGATAGGATTTTTTCCCCAATGAAATAGGACACATTTACGATATAGTTAGTAATCTAATATGAGAAGCCTTCCAATCTTCAGGTACAGCCTAGTAGAGAAGAACATTGATGACAGGAGAGGACAAAGAATACAATCTTTGGTGGCCATCATGTTGGGGGTTGGTTTTCTTGTACTGCTTCTTGAGTACTTCCATGAACTGTCCTGTTTCCAAGCTTGGGCAGTGTGTTGAATCTGAAATGTCTGAGAAGTGTCAGAAAGCCTTTGTTCTTGGGCTTACATGGTAAGCACTCTGTGTTATTCTTAATCACATTTTTATCCAGAACACAGTGTTATGGGTCATATTTTTTTCAGCATTGCTTATAGTGATTTGTGCTCTATAAATATACTCATATTTACATAGGGAATATGCACACTGACATGGGCACATGAAGTTAACCCACCATCCATAAGCAGAATGGAATAAAAATTGCCGGAAGAGTAGTGTATGATGCCATTCCCAGACAGACTATAGATACCAATCCCAAGACTGCAGAAGCTAGAACACTTCTTTGGTCACGGATAATTATCTTCACAGTCTCACAAAACTGGGGAAGAGAAAGAAAGAAAATTAGAAAAAATGGCTAAGCCCCCATATGACAAATAGCAAATTCCAGATTTTTCAAGTTATATACTGTCTAGCGGAAGGACTAGAATGTTCCCCATGACTTATGAAAGAGTTAAAGATGCTAATAATACAGTTTCTTGATTCCAGATCTTATAGTAGTGATTCTGATAAATTCTTTTAAGGCTGTAATAACACCTTGGGTCACTGGATTAATAATGGCAGCTGTCTTTCTAAATACAGAACTTCTACAGAAAATTATACAGAATAATGTAACAGCATAGAAGTTTTTCAGGATAAAGTTTTTAAAAAAAACAGTAAAAGGCTATTGGTTTTAAGCAATAAAGAAACCATATTCAGAATTTTTTAAAGTTAAAAATCAGTATTCTTATTAATAGCAATTACACTCCCTAAAATTAAATGAGCAAAGAAGTCGCTAATCTTGAGTTTTAAAAGGAATAAAATTCAGCTTATTATCAGTAGTAAATCTGATATCTCTAATTTACCTTTTTGAAATTTGATGATTTCAATACAAACTTTCTCCTCCTAAGGAGAAGAGAAAAATCTCAAAATCGAAGGTATGGAAAATTCTAATTTTGTTATTATGGCACATTCACAGCCTAAATAAATTAAGTCAATTCATTTTTAACTATATGACCCAAAATTGGCTACTGAAAATAAAGATTGAGTAAATGCAGCCCCTTCCCTTCTAATATGTGCAATTTTTTTTTCTTAGAGTAGTACTTTGCATAGAATTTGATGGCCTATGTTTGAAGCCTGTTTCTATTTCTTTTTATCTGTGTGAGCTCAAGCAAGTCATTTAACTTCTCCAGATTGACCCTGCCCTCCCTGGGAACACCAAGGCTGTTATAAAAATCAAATGAAATGTTTTATGCAAAAGAACTCTGTATTCAACTGCATGCTGGATTTTAGATGTGAAATATCACAATGATGACTATCACTGCCTATACTCATCCCTATCTCCTCACTATCACTGCCAGAATCCAGCAATTAATCACTCAATTTCTATGAGTTTTGCTACATCTAGTAGTGATAAATACCTTTTCTAGACATGATATTGTATGAAGAGGCTCAAAATGTTCATGGAAAAACAGAGTGAAAAGATAATGGAATTTTTCCACAAGCTTTTTGAAGCCCCCTTGCATATGATTTTAGTGTCTCTGATAGTGGACTCTGATAGTGTGGTATTGACAGTTAAGTTAAAATTCTTTAATGGATAGAATGAACAAGCCCAATATCTTTTAACGTACTACAAATGGAAAATATCCTGTCCATGACCCACTTTTTAATTTACTGATATATTAAACATAAAATGGTCTCTGTCCGGTCGATTTTTTTTCACTAGACAAAGTACTAACCAGTGTACAGTCTTAATGTGGTATCAAACTAAAGACATCAGGATAGTGAAGGAGTATGCCAACAATGAGACATTGTGATAAAAGAGTACGTTAGCTTCATACAGTTATACGTGTTTTCTCTTTTCCCTCATAATTTTTAATCAAGATAAACAGAGAGCTACTGTGGGTTCCCTTCGTCTTTAAAGCAGGTTGCCTTGGTTAGGCAGTAGGCTACTAACTGCAATGTGAGGAGTTCAAACTCACCAACCAATTTGTGGCTGTCTGCTCCCCTAGAGAATACTCAGCCATCCTATGTAGGGTCACTGTGAGTAAAAATAGACTCAATGGCAGTGGGTTTGGGAGTTTCTTGTTCACTGGGCCACTATCCTAGGAGGCACGGCCGGTGGTATTCCACAATATTGGGGATGTTCCCCTTGTTTACAAGGTGTTAGAAACCTGTAGAAGCACTTTACTGAGCAATGAATATTCAGAAAACAAAGGGCTCTTTGCACTCATTTTTGACAATGAACGGGACTGGTAATGAAAAGGTGATGAGAATGAGAAGGTAAAAAATACAGAGTAGAAAGCACAAGAATTATTTATTATTCATAAGTATTTAGATTTCTAATTCATACAAGGTTGACAGATTCACAGCAGCAATATTTTTTAAAAATCACTTAAACTTTTATTATTTGTAACCTTATAGAAAAAAGACGTCAAACGTAAAATTTCTAGTTCATTTTCAAATAAACTGCAGTGTATTCCTGAGGGAAATTGTTTTTCAGAGTTCTTACAAACTAAAATTTAAGTTGAAGAGACAACTTTGCAACCCTCATATTAAGTAGTTAATACTTGGAGAGGAAGAGAGCTTAACAATTAGACCCTGAATCAGGCAACTCCTTATTTTCTCAAGAGTATAAAGCAGACCTCCTTCAGTATTAATGGCCTGCTTCTCTCAGGGTATGTTCCAAAACACGGGTTCTTAGAATTGAAAATTTTGGAATGGGGGGCCCCCCACCCCCACCTGGGAAATCTGCTCCGAGGCCAAACTGTTTGTTAGTTCATTCAGAGTGACAACAAAAACTCTACTTTCACAGGAGATGCTATATAGCAAAAGCAATTAAAACACTCCTGTAAAACCTAAGTTTCAAAGATGAAAAGCTATGCTAACTAAAAGCTATTTTATGCAGTTAAAATATTTTACTACCCTAAAAAACAAACAACTGCTTCCACGGTTTTTCTGTAAAATACAGAAGACAGCACTCTATGTGTGTCCCATAGAAGGGTAACTCTTAATTACTGGGTAGAAATACTGTTTTCCTCAGAGAGAGTATTTGCTGGGTTCCTAAGTAAATCTGACGTGTTTCCTTTTGTACACTTTTGGAGCTGGTGTTTGTAAATGTGGCGAAGTTCATTTCTTAACAAGCTTGAATCATTGCACAGTGCCCTAACTGTATTTTTATTTTACTTGATGCCAGACTTTTCCTAGATTAAATGTCGTAGCACTATAAAACCTATAAGGAGTTTCATACACGCATGTATAAAAAGCATACTACTTCCATGCCCCACCACAGAGGGGAGAGATGAATTTTCCTGTATGGATCAAAACAATAGTCAAGATATGGAGCAATGAAACACTGGCTACATGGACTCAGATTCACTTGGATCGAAAAAAAATCTAAACATGAAGATTAACACTGAAAGCTCCTTAGTGATTACCCAGATTTTTATTATGAATACTCAGCACTAACTCTTAACAACAGTGAAGACTGACAGAGCTCTCAATTAAAAGTGCTTCCAATGGGAAAAAAAGCAATTTTTCCCTCTTTGGGTTTGTGGCTAATTTAATAATCTCACATTCTAACACTGTTTATTTGTTTGTTGTTTTTTCTTCTTTTGAACTTTTATTGCTAACACTGATTTTTCAGTCCCCAAACTCACAGCACTTTGAGTGCATTCTGTCTCATCTGGATCTCTACAGGCAGAGCACTGCCGCCCCATGGGGTTTCCAATGCTGTAGATCTTTATCTGAGCAGGCAGACTCTTCTCTGTCCTGTGGCAGAATGGTGGGTTTCAGCTGCTGATCTTGCAGTTGGCAACCCAATCAATGTATAGCCCACTACCCAAGACCAGGGCTCCTTTGTCTTTTCAAAAATTCCAAAAAAACAAACTCACTGCCATTGAACGATTTTGATTCATAAGCCACCCTACAGGCCATGCTAGAATGGCCTCGGTGAGTTTCTGAGGCTGTAACTATAGTGGAGTAGAAAGCCCCCTGTCTGTTAAAAGTCCCCATAAAAGTTTTCCTCTAGCATTAAATAACTCTTCCTGAAAGTTATTTTTTTTACCTTTAAGGAACCCAAAAAGAGACATAACCACTTTTGTTGCTCATGGATTAATAATAATACATAAATAAATAATAATAACAACAACTAAGACCAACAGAGAAAGGATTCCGAATACCTGGGAAAACCAGGAAGGTCTTACTGATCATTTTGATAGCATTTACATTAAGCAGATTTCACTCTATGCAGGTTATCACTCACTGAAATCTACCCGTTAGGGCAGAGTAGAACTGCACCTGTGTGTTTCTGAGACTTTTAACTTTTTACAGAGCAGAAAGCCGCATCTTTCTCCCAGGGAGCTGCTGGGGGGTTCGAACTACCTTGTGGTTAGCAGCCAAGCGTGTGACACACTGTCCCCCCACCCTCACCCCCACCCCAGCTCAGGGGTAGAAAATCACATGCTTCCCTATTTTAAAGGCATGGGAATTTGTATAGTATTTTGGATTAAATATTAATGGGGGACATCTTCCTCCCAATTGTGATTCTTGGGGAAAGTTGCGTGCGAGAGATAACAGTGAAAGAATTCCTGACTCCTAATCGCCTGCCCTTTGTCATTTGAACTAGGTTGTGGGTGGACGCGCAGATGACTTGTGCAGCAATCATTGGGCAGCTCTCTGAAGTCTCCCTGGGAGCCGGCTCCTCTCATCAGTGCAACTCCACACCCTTTTTTACGGTGCATTTCGAGGTGTCCTGCAAGGCACAGTGCCATTCATCTGTTTACTTTTAAATCTCTGTTAGCACCGGAACGTTCACTACTCAATCTAGAACTTTACGAAGGGCGGCGTGGAAGGGGTAGGGGAGGTGGTTAGGGTAAAGATCTCTGGTGGGGCGGTGGGGCTAGGTAGTGGGTAGGTAAGGGACTGGAGGGGGCGGCCTCACCAAGCTCTCAAGCCAGGAGATGTCACTAACTTTACCTTGTCCGACTGGGGGCTGATCCGGGTGCCGTATCTGCAGTAGGTCACGAAGTGCTCGCAGTTGTTCCACAGTAGGCTGTAGGAGGTCATGCCTAGCATCTGCTCTGCTCTCTGCGCCACCTCCTCGTTGACTAGCGCCTTCTTCTGGAGGGACGCATCCAGGTGATTGACCAGGATGTCGCCTCCGTAGGCGAAGTCGTCCACCGTGTCCACGCGGATGCTAGCCACCTTGCCAATGACGCCCAGGATGAGACGCTTGTTGGATACCACCTTTTGCGTGAGCTCCTGATCCTCGGTCAGGGCCAAGAGAATGTCGGGCATCAGATGGGCGACGCGGTTGTCACCCAAGTAGATGCCATAGTGGGTCAAATGGGTCCGGGGCACCTCCAGCACATCGCCTCGGAGGAACGAGTTAATCTGGTAAAAATTGCTCGTGGTCACGTCTTCGCCAGGAGCTCCTGAACTGAAGAGCTTGAGGTTGGAGATGAGGAGCAGCTTCTCCAACAGGAGGGACGCCACCTCGAACATTGGGTTCTTCATCTCGCAGGGACTAGGGAGGCTTGGGCGGAAGCGGGAGGGTGGCCGTTCCGGTGAACTTGGCCAGACACGGTGAGCTCGCTGGACTTGGGCGCAAGCTGCTGTTCACCTGCAGTCTCGTGCCGCATTGGACGGCTGCAGCGGTGGAGGGAGGCAGGGAGGGGAAGCTTGGTGACTGGCGGAGCTGAGCCGCCCTGGCGACAGTGGAGCAGAGACTGGCTGCGACTGCGTGCGTGCGGGGAGTCCGGGAAGGAGTACACCTGGGGGTGTCCCGAGATGCGGAGCTCAGCGGCAGGCTTTTATCGCCGTCGCGGGGGCGGAGCCGAACGCCGTCACAGACCCGGCGAGAGCGCTCATTGGGTAAGGGACATCGGCACCGGACCAAGGACAGCATTCTTTGGAAGGGAGGCGGGCCGTGTCCCGCTTCCGGGTTCTGGCGGGGTGGGGTGGGGGCGTTCGGGGACGATTGACAGGCCTCCCTTCCCGCCGCTGCCCCTAATCGCTCTGGCACCACGAACCGATTGATGAATCTCGGAGAGTCCAGGCGGGCCGTGTCCCGCTTCCGGGTTCTGGCGGGATGGGGTGGGGGGGTTCGGGGACGATTGACAGGCCTCCCTTCCCGCCGCTGCCCCTAATCGCTCTGGCACCACGAACCGATTGATGAATCTCGGAGAGTCCAGGCGCGGCCGCGCGCGCGCGAGAGGTCCTGGACCTGCCTCGAAGGTGCAAGGTGGGAGATCGCTTTTTGAGGGACAAGTCCCCTGGGGCTACGTTTCACCGCCTTACTGGGTGACCTCAGCCTCTTAAAGCGCCTGCATTCACTCTGCGGAAGATGCGCGCCTCGGAAGATACCCTCCTAAACGCCTGAGAACCCGAATCCCGCACTCCGCAGAACCGAGAATTCTCCCCTTTAAATGCCGGGAACCCTCTGCTCTTCCCGCGGGCGCGCGGGAGGACCCGCTCCCCGGGCGTCAGCGCTCCGCGTGCCAGGGATGGACCGGGCTCCTCGGCGTCCGGGGGCTCGAGTGGCCGTTGGGCGCGCGGCCACCAACGGTCGGCTTGAAAAACGGCGCCGCCGCCAACGGTCTCTTGCAAAGCAGCGTAACTGTCGTTTGCCTTCCGGGATCTTTCAGACAGCTCGGGCTTACCCAGCGCCACGGTCCCGCTGGCTGGTAAATGGGAGCCAGGGCGGACCGGCGGGGCCCGCGGCGCAGGTGGGAGGCGGGCACGGCGCGCGCCCACGCCCACGCCCGGTGCTGCGTTTCCTGCCGCGCCCGCGCGCCGCCCAGGTGTGTCCCCGAGAGCTGCCCTGGGAGCTGCGGGTGTGGGAAGCTGTGACGCGTCGGGCCGCGAGCCGGCTCCGCACCGGTCCCGGGCCCCCTGCCCTGCGTTCGGCGCTAATGCATTATGTAAATGCTGACATTCCTCGGACAAAGGCCACCGCGGAAAGCTTCGGCCGGCCGCACAAAGCCGCCCAGTCCGCGGCTAATAGGTTTCCTCAGCAAGCAGATTCTCTGCTCGCCAGGGGAGGAGGCTAGCTGCCGATGATGGATGAGGGCACATTCATTGTACCTGGAAAATGAAGGGGGACCATGGAGACCAGGCGAGGCAGGCGCCGGCTCCCCTTTATCCTCTGGGGCCGGCCTTTGCTCATCCCCCCCACCTCCCCACAGTCTGCCATCAGCGCTCTGCGCCCATCGCCCTTCTTGCTGATGACTTTTGTTCATTTCACAAGCGATGTTGAATCACATTATAGTCCCAACCGAGGGAAAGAAAATTCCATTTCCCACAACCAAGTGGAAAGGAAGAAGGAGAGATGTGAACATTTTTTTTTTTTTAAAAAAGGGGGTTTCCACAGTCAGTCCTAGGGCTCTTGTTAGCTTGCAACTGTTTGTGTTTTGGGGTTTTTTTAACAATTGTAAAGAAATGTTTAAAAGTCTGGTCCAAACCTAGGCATGCAATTGTTAATCACAGACTGGACGTCGGACTCTCAGTCTCAGGTTGTGAACGCGCTGGCTTCTTCCAGTTCTGGGAAAGCGAGGAATCCCGTGTCTCCGGCCAAATTCAAAGAGGGTTGGCCATTAGTGATTTCCGTCTCTGGTGGCTGCTAAGGTGGCTCATAATGCCAAGGACTGTCTCCACCCAGGGACCTTGGGGAGGCGTATAACGCAACAGGAACCAACTGTCTTCCAGCTCGGCAGAGAACTCTTTTAGAACGAAAATATTGGAGAACTCGCCTCTAAATCTTGGATGCTGCTTCCTTGAGCTGTTTACGGAGAAACAGGAAGTGCTGATAAGCTTTTCACGCTTTCTAAGCTGTTAAGCTTTTAATGTTTTCTTCTCTCCTGGTGGGGTTAACTGTTTGGTTCACGTTCTTCAGACAGAGTCATTTGAAGAAGGAAAAAAGAAAGCGATGTAGCCTGGGCATGGATCTGAGAGGGCTGCTCAACACGTTGGCAGTCAACCGCCTTTACAAATGAGTGTGGTAGGAGAGTGCAGAACTTCTTGAAGGTTATTTTATTATTTTCAACTCTGTCCGTTCACGATTTTTAACTCAGGATTTTGAACCTTTTCGTGAATGTCTTTTTCTTAGTGAGCCGGTCCACAAGAAGCCAGACCCACCCTCTTGCCCCTCCTGCCTGGTAACCCAAAGGGGGCTGGGAGGTCTTCTGGTTGTTTTCTGCAGCCTCCTAAAGGGCCAGAAGTGGTGAAAGGGATTAGCAATGATTAGGGCGCTTTTCAATTGAGAAAATGAGCTCTTGTTGACTGAATTCCTTCTCTTCCGTTTTTCATAAACAATTGTACCTTTTTCACACACACGTCTCCTTCCCACTGTCTCATGTCTCAGGCATTTCTTGGGCTGAATGGTCCATTTCTGATCGCTACCTAAGAGATTGACTTGAAAACATGTTTACTGCACCCTGCAGGAGCAAGCTTTCCTAGTATTTTCTCCCCACTTTCATTTTAGCCAAAAAACAGCCAAAAGACCACAGTCATCAAGACAAATGCTGCAACAGAAATCTAATGTTGAAAAGTTCTCCTGACTTCGAAGTGGCCTTTGAAGGAAAAAAATAATTCCCCAAGGGTTGCCTGACAAATCTCTTTCTTAGGAAAGGCGGCTCCATGCAGTAATGAAGTTCATGGTGTAAATGCCAGTCTGGCAGCACAATTCCAAAAGCGCCCAGGCTGTTCTGGACAACGTATGCAAGGCAGCCATCAGCAAGCAGATCAGGTTCAGCCCATTTTCTACCAACTCCGCAGGACAGGACCCTGTTATGTGTCAGCGCAAAGGAAGCTGAAATGAAATTAGACTCAGAGCCAAATTGTGCAGAAACAGGTAGAGCCTGCCTAAACCTCCAGCCTTAACGTTCCAATGCTCAGCTTCATCACAGCCCCCCTCAGACAGAGTTCCCCCTCTCTGGAAATATGAATGAGGCTGGACGCCTACAGATATCCTGTAAGGCTGTTTGGATTTTTCAGCTGCTCACAAGTTACCTCAGAAGCCCCTCTGCTCTTCAGAGAAGTCTTTGAAATGGGAGATATGTTCACAGTACAAATACTAATAAACTGAACTCACTGCCATCTCATCGATGCTAACTCATATCTGATCTTGATAGCATCTTCCTATATGGTGGGCCTTGAACTAAACTTTTTTTCCCCTTTGTTTCCTCCCAACAATGCATTAAAAATTATCGTCATTTTACCCAGGAATCATATGAGGCTTATAACTTGGCTTAGGTCACCTTGTGTGTGGACAAGTTGTCCTCCTGATCTCCAGGCTATCTCTGGAGAAGGCCTTGCTTCCCACCAGCCCATCACTCCTGTAGCTGCTATCTGCTAGGTTTTGTACCCAAGCCTGGGGGTAGAAGATCCTATCAAGTATCTTAATGCTCAATTTAGACCCAACATCCTTTCGTTGTGATTCCGACTTCATTTCCTGATTCTCTGGTGTTCTAGGGTTCAGTTTTTAACATCAATATTTTACAGAGCAGAGAAAGGGCTAATTAAGACTCCCCACTAGCAGAACTCCCTCAGCAGGAAGGCCGCAGCTTAGGTGTGGCCATAGAATCCTATGCCCTCCTTAGATTTAAGAATCTGAGGCTGGGGACATTCATAGTCTTGCCAAGGGTTAGCAGCATGTCCTAGAGCCAGAACTCCAGACCTCTTATTCCGCCTTCTTCAAACTGTGTCCTAAGCCTAGTACATTTGGCTTTCTAAACATTTGCTTTAATTCCTGCCCTCTAGGCTTATTGTGTTCTTAGTATTTTTAGATTGCTGAATCTTTAGGCCTATAAATAATGAAAACCCTCGCATTTGTTTTTGTTCCAGCTATCAGTCTAAGCTTTGCTTTGTTTACACCAACACTTAGGTCTGGGCCATGGGCACAAACAAGCACCTTTACTAGTTGACTCGGAGGGGCTGGAGAGAATGAAGGTGTTGTGAACTCCCCTCTGAGCAGAGAAGAATGAGGAGACCCGTGTTCATCGAGACTCGGCGCTCCAAGGAATATTAGGCCAATAGGAGTTAATTACCTGCTGGGAACAAACTGTTTCCAGCTTCCTTGCTGGCTGATTAACACATTCTTATGAGTGTTCTCAATCCTGGCTATTGTCTTTTTAAAAAAGTAAAGGCTGCAGCCCCAACCAGACAGGATTTAGTGAGTTTTAGTTTGTTTTGGCCAACCATAAAATAACATTGAGCAAACTATAAAATAACCATGACCCAAATGAGTACTGCTTAATATAAATTAGTAATTGATTTGGACAGCTGCAAGGTACAGAAAGGAGCCAGAAATCATCAAGCTGAAAGCCTGGTTGTGCCACTCATAGTAAGACGACCTCAGGAAAGGCGCAAATGCTACCTTTGCAGCACCTCCATTTTCTCTTCACAAATGGAACTGATATTTCAGAGCTGTTTTGATGACCAGCTGAAATCAAAGGAGTTTGGTGCATCCGCTACTGTATCAGTAACTTCATTCTTCAGAAAAACAAAGGGAAGGCAAATCGGCTTTTCCCTCTCTGCTTTGAGAACGCAGCGTTCTAAGCAGGCGGTGTGACCAAGGGTATGCTCAGACTCAGTCCCCTTTCAGCAGTTCAACACACAGCCACAGGGTGAGTTCAAAGGAGGCACACAGTATTTATGGAGATGCGTGGACCCACAGAAAGCTGGGACTGCAGCAGCCAGTCAGCAACCCAGGC